TATAAATTGCACCATCGATACAGAGAGGCACCGTCGAAGTCTGCTGGTGAGAGAGCCGACACTTGTCAACGTCTGTGCTTGGTGGTCAACACCAAGCACATGGGAGCATTTCTGGGGCCACACGATGACACACAATCAAATTTTCACCTTCCAGAAAGAATAAATAAATTAGATAAGCCTGGGTCTAAAAGAATAACCAAAACAAATATATCAACTATGAACTGTTGAGCGAGTAACTCAATTTTAGAAGAAACCTGCTTCTTACTGGCTGTTGTCCCAGCCAGTTCTTCTTGTGCAAGGGCCACGACTGTCTCTAACATCTGAACAGTGCTTCCCAGCACTGCTGAGGCCAAGGGCAGGGCGCTGACCAGTCGCTCGGTCCTGCCATGGGCCAGGCATCAGGCTGGACTTACATCATCGCTAGGGATTCAGTTCTACCCATCACCACCCCATCAGTTCTGTGTTTAAGGCTCACCCCTCAGGAAACTATATTTAAGGGTCGTTACAGTTAAATGGGATTATGAGGAAGGGGCTCTGCGCTGATGGGATTAGTATCCTTATAAGAAGAGAAGAGACACCAGAGACCTCTCTCTCCCTTTGAATGAGCACAAAGAAGAAGTCGTGGGTACACACAGCAAGATACCACCACCTTTACAAACCAAGATGGGAGCCCTTACCAGAAACCGACCATGCTGGCACCTGGCCTTGGACTTTCAGCCTCCAGAGCCGTAAGAAAATAATTATCTACTGCTTAAGCCACCGAGTCTATGATATTTTGTTGTGACGGCCCCAGCTGACTAATGCAGTCATCACAATTTAATTTTCATAATCACTCTGCAGTAGATGTGATGATTAAGTTGTCAGGAGAGCGAAAGAAATGTTTATATGCTAAACTCACGATATTCAAAGAGCCACTTAAACTCTAGGGAATAAGAACATGCTCTTGGGAGGCCGCAGAGAACAGTGGTTCTTGGTAGACTTGAATAGGAATCTCAGGCTTCTCTTCTTAGCTGTGTGACTGTGGGTAAGTTACTGCACCTCGTAGTTCCTCCATTGGCTTGTCTGTGAAATAGGAATAAAACCTAAACCTCATAGAGTTGTGAGGTTAAACGTGGCAACCTTGAGAACTACATCTGCCCAATGCTTGTTAGAAACATGTATTCCTGACTCCCAACCTGGCCTGCTGAGCCAGAATCTCCAGGAAGGGTCCTCAGGTCAGGAATCTTTAATAAACAGCCAGATAATTCGTAAATTGGACACGTTTTGCAAACTCAGAGAGAACCCATGTAAATAAAGCATTTGGCCTTGACCTACTCTCCCTTTACAAAAGTCAGCCCCTGGTTTATTACCCCCTGATTTATAGTAAGTCCTCATTTAACTTTGCCAAAAGGTTCTAGGAAACTGTAACTTTAAGTAAAACGACGTAATCACGAAAACCAATTTTACCACAGACTAATTGACATTCAGAATTATGATCTAGGAATTTAACTCTTGTTTAAATCAATTAGTCTGTGATAAAATTGGTTTAAGTCGCAGTTTCTAAGAACCTATTTGACTACATTATGTGAGGACTTAACTATATTTGCAAATGGTGCTACCATGGCCTTCTGGGTAATGTTACCCCAGATGATTCATTAGTAGACACCCTGTGATACAATTTCAGAAGACATGGCTCTATATCCATAAACAAAAATTAAGCTGTACATTTAAGATGTGTGTACATTACTGTTTATAAATTACACCTCAATAAAAGATTTTAAAAAGAAACTTTAAAAAGACAGAACTCCCCTTCTTTAGAAAATGCACTCAAAGACAAATAATGCTGCTAGACAGGCTGTGTGCCCAAACGCTCATATATATAAGACACAGTTTCACGTGTGACTGCATAGAACACATGGGAAGGGAGGCATCACGTGATGAACTTAACTATGTGGCTATGGAAGCAACCAATGGGAGTAGTGAGGTAGCCTCTGTAATGGAAGGATCCAGAGTTTTCCTTTGATTTCTATCAAAGGAATGATATTTCTATTGGCAGAAATGAATGGCCTCAGCCCAGCCCCCCAGTGCAGAGCGTGGGCTTTCCCTGCAAGGATGGAAGAGCTCCCATCTTCAGCTGGGGAGCACCCTGCTCCCTCCCATCTTATCCACAAGCCCAGTCTGAAGCTACAGAAGGGTGCCCCTCCCCAGCATGATCACTCAGGAAAGGATCTTTTTCTAGGCACATCCCCAGAGTCATGCAAGGAAGTGGACCATGATCAACATGTGTGCAAACGAGAGTAGCCGATGCATAAGCCAAAAGGTCAGTTAAAGACCCGATTTCTCCAAAGTATATCTTCCCCTGGGCTTTGGAGATGAGAGCATTCACAAGTGCCTTCCACGGACTTGCTCTGCAAGAAGGTGGGGGAGTGAACAGCCTGGGGTTAGGCCTCATCCTGGCCAAAGGAACAATGAATTGGGAACTCTTTCTTTTCCAGGCTGCTGCTAGGACAGGCTGCAAATTACCCACTAGCTGGAGGGGACAGAGTGAGAAAGAATAGCCAGCGCCCTCCTAACATCTCCCACAGACCCTGCCTCGCAGGCTACAGCTGGAAATCAGGGTCAGATTATGGGCCTAATTTTATCGCTGCTTGTGAGGCAGATACATCTATTAACACATTTTTCTTTTGCAGTTCCGTGATCAGGCTGGGCCACTCGGGAAAGGGCAGTAAGTTGGAAGGTGAAGTATCACCTCTGTGTCTGCTTTGTGTATAGATGGTGGCACCAATTTTTTATGCTGCGTCCTTTTTTTTTTTCCTAAATGACCATTTGCACTGAAGGGGTTGCCATTTTCTATACCGATGCAGGTTTATGGTTCTAGTCTACTCATGTGCTTTGTTCACAATCCACACCTAGCATCCCCGGGGGCACGTAAGCCTGTAACAGATTCATTTGGTGCCCCCCCCCCCCAAAGCTCCTCAGGTGTCATTTATTCTGTCTGTGTCCCCATCCCCCTTTCTGGAAACTTTGCTTTGAAAGGCTCACATCCACAACTTTCTTCGGGTTTGGGTCAGCCCTGAACCACGGGAGCCCTGCTTGTACAGACAACCCGAGGAGCCTTGAGGTGACATCTGCCAGACAGCCCGGGATTTTGACAGATGGTCGTGGGAGTGTGCAACCAGTCCAGTCACTGGCCTGAGTCGGGACAAAGCCTGAGGTTAAGAATTTACTCTCTGGGGCAGTGCTGTCCAACAGAACTTTCTGTGATGACGGGAATGTTCTGATCTGTGCCGTCCAAAATGGTAGCCAAGAGCCACAACTGCCAAATACTTGAAACGTGGCCACAGCCGTGGACGGACACAAGTTCGGAAGTCCTGCATGAACGAGCGCGCACTTGTGGGAAGGAAAAAAGCAGCCTCCTGCACGGCTCAGAATGTGCAGAAACTGTGAAGAGGAAGCTGTGCCCCAGGGTAAGTTTTATTTTCAAGTTGCCTGACAGTTACCTAGAGACTCTTTCTTATTTAAACTTCTGTTCCTGAAAATCCTTCCAAGAGTCATGAGTCCTATTTCTCTCCTTAGTAACTGGAATACAGGGAGCATGGCCTCATTTTTCCTTGGTTTCGGTTGTGAGAAAGTCTCAGAGTCTGAACACCCATGTGCATGGATGGAAACTGCGGGTGTAAGCCCCAGAAGAGGGTGGAGACGGGCCTGAATTTGAAAGCACCCAAGACAGAACCTGAGTCTTTGTATGGACATTTGAGGGTGTCTGGACGCGGATTATTGAGGTTTTGTTGTAAACATTTGACAGCTCTCCTACCAAAGATTTTGAGGCTTAGGGAGCTCAAAAATTAAATTACTGTGTAATACCATTTTATTGTATTAATTTCTAAGGAATCTAGGCCTGGTTCCTAGCCCTCGGCGGCTCTCTCTATGGTCCTATGGGGCCAGTAATCGCCATCCTCTGCTCACCGCCGCTGGTCTCCATGATCAGCCATGAGTGGAAGTATGAGGGACTTTCAGGAGTGTCAGCTCTATTCACCTCCGCTGTTTCCATTTTGTGTTAACCTCTTGCTCTGCCACTGGCCCTCACTCTTCCCTGCACCTGAGCCTCGACGGTAGCCTGTTTGGCACCTCAGTCCCTCCAGAATGGAGAACTTGTCTTCTTTCTGTCTTTTGCTTACAACAGATGCCCCAAAACCTCAACCCACTATGCTCTCTCTGTAGGACCAAACTCCTCCCGGAGTTTGTTCCATGTAGTTCAATAATTCATTCAACAGACATTTAAGGGTCCAATATTGCCAGGCACTATGCCAGGGAGGCCGCAAACAGCACGTTAGCATTCCTAGCCTCTAAGTAAAGAAACAGGGTGTAGGAATAATGAGAACTGTGTCCATTGTCATAAAGCGCATGCAGAAAGGGCTGGCAATAGAGGCCAGGTCTGGGAGTTGTCAGCTACTTGAAGGCGAGACTCAGGTGTGATGCGCTTTTGTGCTCAGGATATAGGCGTTCAAGGAAGGATGATTGCATTTGATGCATTAAGATAATATGTCGCATGAGCAATCAATGTCCACGGAAGGTCTTCACGAACAGACAGGCCCTGGCAGCCCCACCACACAACTGATGAAGAGCTTGTTATGGAGCCTTGCAGGACATTCACATATGACATTCTTGGTGTTACCGAACGAAGACCTAATTCTTTCTCTCTGAACGCCCAAGATTGTAGATACGTGTGCCCAGTTCATCTCAAAGGGGAGGGGACGAAGAGCCAGGATGGCGACTCAGCTGGGACTATCTCACCACCCATGTCACTGTCCCTTCATGATGCATGACCAGTGTGTTCTTTGTCTCTGTGTTTGGTCATAATTGGTATTTAATCTGGCTAAAAACAGGTGGCTATATTCTGGAGGAGCTCTCAGCTCCTGTTGCAAGAGTAAGCAGTCATATAAGGTATTGAAATCATTGCAGTCCAATAAAACAGTTTCAAACTGCAGGCACGTCATTCACAACCACAAAGCCATGGCTACCTGGTGGCGATAAGAGGGTACATGTGAATGGGGCTGAGCCAGGCTTCCTTCCTCCGCGGCACGCTGTCATAGATTAAAAGGTCCTTCTCGGTCAACACCACCAGGGATGGCTTCCACTGTTTCTCACCCTCCCCAGGCACCTGAAACAGAAAGCAGAGAACTGAGAAACGACAGCCTGAGGAAAGAGTGACTGCAAAGGAGAAGTTGCCTTCCCCAGAATCAGGAGACCCAACAATGGGGACAGGTCTCGGCTGAGGTTGTAAAACTAAAATGAAAAGAAAGCATTTGTGGCCACATGACTCTTGATCCCTTGAGGATATGTTTTCTCAAGGCCCTGAGATGTACAGTCAATGCAGCCAAGGAGCAGCCCAGTGACCAAACAGCTGCCACTGTTTTGCCCCTGCCAGTCAGCACTGAAATTTTAGTTCATGGTGGGGTGCAGATGCTTGGGAAACGGGGTACCTCCAGAGGGTTCTGGTGAAGTGCATTGTTTTTCTTGTAAAATGGTAAGGCTTGAAAACTTCGGAATAGATAGCCAAAGGCTTTGCAAATGTATTACGGAAGCGAAGAGCTGTCTGAACAAGTATGAGATATCGCAGACCTCCCCCAGACTTTCGCTCTTAGATTGTTTTTGCAATTCAGGCACCACCTTGAAATTCTCTTGTTCTAGAATGTGGAGTCCTACTCATGGTAGATAATTCTTTAACTTGAGGGCTGAGGTGCCCTGGCAAAGAGGGACATGAGCGGATTCAAATGCCACTTGGATGATTGGACCAGAGGACCCTTAAAGTTCCATCCAGTCTTGGGAGTCTGTGTAGCTCAGAGCTTATCTCTGCCCAATGTTGATATGTGCAAACTCCCGAAATGTTCTTTGGTCTATGAAAATGCCCTGCTTCCAATTTGAACTCTGGGATGAATGTTGATTCATCATTCTTAGTTTGGAACAACTCCGTGCTTTGTAGCCTTGCAATTCAAAGTAGGGAGCATGTTCCAGGAGTATCAGCATGCTAGAAATGCAGAGTCTCAGGCCACCCTAGGCCTATGGAATCCAAATGTGCCTTTTTCTCAAGACCTTTAGCTGACTCATATACTCATTAAAGATTAAGAAGTACCACTGTAGACATGGTTAAGATTGTCTTTGACACTGTCAATGAATTCAGTGAAAATTCAACCCTCTCATAACAAACCACTATCCAAATCTATTCCGAATTAAACTAGACAGTGAGCTAAATAAATAATAAAGCTAACTCCTCTCTCTTTTGCACTGAGGTGGAAGCAGGTGCATGTGGCTTTAGGAGTGAGTGATCAAGGTAGAGCCGCGCAGGGCAGAGTAAACGTCGAGCTTCGTGGGTTATGTAGTTTTATAGGCTGCATGGGTCTGAGTCCCTGGTCCATTATTTATTGCCTATGTAGCTTTGGGCAAGTTATCATTCTCTGTGCCTCTCTTTCCTCACTGGTAAGGATAACGCCACATACAACAGCAGTGAAAGGTGCTGACGTGGGAGCCAGGGCGCCTGGACCTGAATCATAGCCCGCGATGTACTGGATTGAGTAGCCGTGCGATCCGGCACAAGCCAGTGAATCTCTGTATCTCAGTTTCAGTATCTGTAAAATGGAGAAATATCAGAGGGTTGTTGTGAGGACTGAGTTAAAAGGTCTAAAGTGCTGAGCACAGTGCAGAAGCGGCACCATTCACAGCCTGTTAAGTGGCACATACCTCATAAGGCTACAGTGGAGGTTCAATGAGACTGTGCGTGTGATGTGCTCAGCACGCACATTACCTGGCAGGTGGGAAGGTCCTCGGTGAAACTCAGGGTGGGAGAATGGTGGCAGACTCACAGGTTTCTAAACTTGTCAAAAAGAGGTATTCTTTGGAAATGGCAACAATCTGGCCAAGTGGCGATTTTCCTTGGGAAAAATTATAAAGCAAGCCCAGAATATCTTTGTTGTTGACAATGTCAATTCATTTTCCTTGGGTCCTTTCCAAAATTCTTCCAAGAAGAATTTGTCACACACTGATCACCTTTATTATTAAATGCCCCTCTTTCAGCAAGTCCAAATGAAACCTCCTGTTCTAGAAGGAGGACATGTCCTGTGAAGCTACTTATACTAGAGTGTGAATGGCTGCCTGGTCTATTTCTCCCTTTATGCATTTTATGAATCCTTAAGCTTACTTTTTTTTAAAAAAAAAAAAAACCTGCATCTTCAAGAGATCAAAATGAATGGTTAGAGAAGATAATGTACCAGACCCCATGGGGTAAATAAGCTGTGGTCTCATGGCATAAAGTGTTTGGGAGGTTTGTAGTAAACTTTTTCCAGCCTCTACATTAAACCTAGTAAACTGCATTTCTAGCTCATTAAATAAGACTGGGGAAGTTATGAATGATCCTCCCAAAGTGCCTATCTTACTTACCTAGTCAGATCTGATTCATTAACTTTGACTGGAACCAGTCATTTCAATGTGAACATAACTAAGCATCATTCTTCAAAAACAGTATTAAGTTTGCCAAAGAAACCTCAATGGTAAGCTCCAATACATAGTACAATGCAGACCTTTTAAATGGTGGAATCACAAATGCAGTCACATGCCAAGCAGTATAAATAGGTGTGAATAATTGCAAGCTCCTAGAAATGTTGCAATTTATTGTAGAACCTTGTGTGGATGTGTTGACTCTGCTACGAGAAGAGTCAGGGAGCGCATATCCTCTGTTCCTGCATGCAGAGCTTTTGTTTTAATACTCTGTGAATTTCCCTTGGTAGATGTCAGCCCATGAGGACAACCAACTTCCAAGGAGGAGAGTTTCATGCTGAAGAACAGGTTTTCAAAATCATACTTTACGCCACATGAGCATCACATTACAAAGCCTTTCAAGAGCATTTTTCTTCAGACTGGAGCATCGGTGCTGCTGGTCATGATGACTTCCGTTACAAATCCAAGTTTCCTGGCACCCAAAGAGTCTCCTATATGAATGCAACAATTCTGGGGATGTGTCTGCATTTTATTAAAACATGACCCCTGAAACAGATGTGAAGTGACTTCCATCTCAATCCCAGCTTCCTGTCATCAGATGCTGTAGCGGCTTCCTAAGAACTGATCATGCGTCTAATGAAAAGAGTGAAGGGAAAGAAACAGGGAAATAGGCATTCAATTCTGAAATTATTCTGAAGCCCAGCTGTGAGCTGAATCCTGGCCCCGTAGTCACCTCTGCAGAGCATGAAAGAACAGGTTTACCAAATGACAAGGAGAATTACGAGAGCATGGAAAGAAGTCACTGGTGAGACTTGAGGGAAGTAGAAATAAATGTATCAACATGTTGTATAACTTAAACTCACACACTGTTACATGCCAGTTATGTCTCAATTTAAAAAAAAAAAAAGGATGAAGGGAAGTAAAGTCATTGAGTCCTCAATTTGAGACAGGCCTCTTAAGTCATCTAGCTCAGTGGCTTTCAAATTTTTGAAATTCACTGGACCCTCGATTCAGATTAAATCACAAGCCAGAGAACAAAATGTAAAACAATTGAAAGAATGTCTTTATGGGGTTGTAGCCTCGCTGGGTCCCAGACTTTATGTCACTACCCTGCCGCCCCCACACCCCTGGGAAGGGCTCCCAGAGCCACTGGAAGACAGTTCGAAAACTGCTGATCTTGGCTCCTCTGAAATACCTCGGATCTGCAGATCATGTTCAAAGAGACTGCTTTACCAAGTTTTCAGTGCCTTTTTTTTTTTTTTTGGTAGGTATTTCCATAGAAAAGAATGCAACTCTTAGGCAGAATTGCAAGGACTGAATGAATTAATACATAGAAAAGTCTTAGAAAAGTGTCTTGCACCAGTGAGCGAGCGAGCAAGCCTTTAAAAAATATTAGTTATCCTTGCTATGATATCAAAGTAAGAATAAGTTAGTACCAGATTAGGGAGGTGGGCAAGAATTACTTGCCTTTTTGGGTCTGAAGTCCCCGTCCACCAAAGGGTAGGGTCAGACTAAATTATTGCTAACAATGTCTCCAACTTCAAAATTGGATCATTTCTTTTTCACCTTAGAATTCCCTGTTACTAAGATGAGGCTGCTTTAGTTGCTGGGACTCTTGCTTTATACCTCTTCTTGGTTCTGTGCACTCTGTTCACAGGGCAAAAGACAATGTGTGGGTCTGTTTTTCTCCCCTTCTGCCAACTCACTCTTCCCAACATACTGTATTTCGCTGTGTATAACACGCACATTTTTTTGCCCAAAGTTTTGAGGGAAAATAAGGACGTGCATTATACATGGGAAGTACTAATTCCATATCTATATAAATGTTTTTAATTCTTTTATTTATGCTTATACGTTAAAGTGTAACTCTAGAAAGCAATAACCATATCCATATGGAAAATAATACCCTGGAATATGATAATCAGTTTTGTTTCTAGATATAAATAAATAAAACATTGAATTAAAAAACATAAAGGTGGGTGCACATTATACATAGCAAAATACGGTACTTCTCATCTATTTTCTACTTGAGCACAGAGTGGCAGGAAGAGCTCATTGTCCTTGAAGCCAAACAGCAATATCTTCAAAATCCAATGTCTTCAAAATCCCACTGAAGGATCCGAACAGATTACAGTCATGCGCCACATAGTGATGTTTTGGTCAACAATGGGCCACATATACAATGGTGGTCCCATAAGATCATAATGGAGCTGAAAAACTCCTGTTGCCTAGTGACATCATAGCCGTTGAGACATCATAGCTCAAGAAATTACGAATGCATACAGTACGCAGTACGTGAACATGTCCCACGGTGTAGCCTGGGAGTGACCGGCTATTCCATCCAGGTCTGTGGAAGCGCACGGTGTGACGCCCCACAACGATGAAATTGCTGAACGCCGCCTTTTTCAGAATGTAGCCCCATCAAGCGATGCATGAGTCCCCAGCTGCTCTGAGCGCCTGGTCGCTGATGTGTAACATACTAATAATGGCTTCCCACGCATATTTTAGGAGGATTAAATGAGACTCCTGCTACCCTGCTCAGGAAGGGAGGGCTCAGGGTAAGGGGAGCAGAGTCAAAACTGTTCACCAAAGAAGGTCGGCCGCACCTTTTGTGTTGGAGATGATGGTTATCTTCTATTTTATGTTTTTTTCACCTCAGGTTTCTAGGTA